GGCGTGGCGTGGCGTGGCGTGGCGTGGTGTGGTGTGGTGTAATGTGACGTGGTGTGGTGTAATATAAAGTGGTGTGGTATGGTATGGTATAGTATGTCATGGAATGTATGTGGTTCAGAGTAGTGGGGTTGGAATATTCCTTTCAACACAATGAGGATATTACAGAGAGCAGACATTAGCTTTTGACACAACCTGCCAACAGGACAGAGCCTCTAGGTAGAGAGCCACGGAAACTCCTCTATCAATTGAAGTCTATAAATATCTGGTTAGATAAATACAAGCCAAGTTTCGAACACCATAGTCTAGTATAATACAGGATGGAGAGTAGAAGCCAAAATTCTATAAATATTACTTTTCAATCAAACTTTAAAAAAACACAATATCAAATAGTTCTTTGATAAACAAATTCATATAATAGGGGGCTCAGTTTAACGCTCATATGATCTTATGCAGATGCAAACGCTGTAAAACCTCTACTACAAAATAGGGGGGTCAGTGATACCTTCATTAACAGTCGAGCCCTGACTGACCAGATTACTGTCAGCCAAGTCCAGGACAGAGTTCTCCTGACTGCTGACAGGACCAGAGTTATGCGCCATGATATGCTGACACAGCAGTTCTGTGTCGGTGAAGTCCTCAAAGCAAATGGGACACTTGATGCTTGCGTCCGAGCTGTGTTCTGATCTCGAATGCAAGTCCAACAGGTCCTGTATTGTGAGACAGAAGAATGTTTGGTTTGGGTCAAAGTCAAAGAGGTTATATTTAGTACAAGAGTTCGTGGCAGTGATGTTCTCCATGTAAACGAACGGGGGCTGAGAGTGCCCACACTGGGACGCTGAACTTCAAGGGAGAACTACATACATGCGCAGTTCAACAGATGGGCGAGTACTTTTCGAGACTCATATGGAGACATCTCTGCGTTCTTAGGAGAAAATCTACAAGCTTGTACTGAAATATGGGGGCAGGGTGGTACTTAATATACTAGAGCTCGAGGGATCAGGGTAGGGGTTCAGATTTTTCATGTAAATGGGGGTGTGTCGGCCATGCAGATGAGAAGAAGAAGGCCCCCATGTCTGACACGTGTGACGTCACTGCTACGAGTTCTAGTATTATATATAACCTCTTTGTTTTGGGTTTACTTTCAAAAATAGAGTACTTGGTCCATAATAGGGAGTAAACAAGGAAGAATAAGACCCCTAAAATCTTAAAATAATCCAGTATTCCTGAATGAGAACAATCTGGCCATACATTGTGTTAAATCTTTTTAACCTCCTTGTTAAAAAACAGCACAATATTACTGACACTGACAAAAACAATGAGAAACATTTCTCATCGCATAGCAAGAAAAGCATTTCGGTTGTATAAATCAGAAGCCTTTTACTGACTTTTAAACATCATTACATAGGCCTACATACAAATCTGCAACAGTTTAACTAACCTGAGAGAAGAAAATCTCCTGACAAATTTCACACACAAATTTCTCCACCTTCACAGCTGAAACCTCAGCATGGGTCAGCAAATGCTGCTGCAATTCTTCTGATGTTGGAAATGATTTTTTGCATTTGAAACACCCAAGATCTTCTCCCTCTTCAGAAGGATATTTCAGTTTCTGAAAACATAATAATCAATACATAATTACAATAGTCATGCAACTGTACATTACTTAATGTGGCTATTTGGTCAAATATGTTACCGTTTAGATATAAGAAAACAAAAAATATTTATCATCTAACTAATGCACATGAAATAAATCAAATTCTGTTAATTAGCTCCAACTTCATAAGTATAACTACACTCCTTGCATTAGTTAAAAATAATATATCTGAAATTTAGACGCAAGTTTTTGTGTAATTATAAAGTCTTTGTTGGCAACTTAATGCAAGTGAGATGAACATTCTGAGCTTTTTTAAAGTTCTGCCAAAATTTTTCTAAGAGTACTCACATGGGTCTTGAGGTGATTTGTGAGAGCTGAGGCTGACATATAATTCTGAAGGCACACGGGACATTTAAAGCCTTCATCATTCTCCATCAGGTCATGGCTTTTCATGTGGTTCCTCAGATGGTCACTCCTGTGCAGGAAAGTAGAAAACAAAGAAACAAGCCAGGTTAGAATGAGTCAAAAGGTACACAGTTTTCTGAATCAGAAATGCCAATATAGTCTAAAAGTAGATTGAAGTCATGAAGAAGAAACAAAATAAGAAATACTGCAGATGTCTAAAAGAAAAACAATACTTGAGGGAACTGAGAAAATACAAATTTCTATACATGTGGTCATAAAGGTCATATTGACTACAAAAGAAAAAACTCTAAAAACAGCCATTAAAAAAAATAAATAATAATGAGTCCTTTGCAACTCACGGTGACTAGCAGTGAGACATTAGTTATTACTTAATTTTTAAAAATTGAACCACAGCATTTTTTAAAGCTATATTACATATCACAAATAAAATTTGCTAGAGTAGACCCAAAAAAATGTTTCTTAAGCTATAAAGAAAGACTGCTTTGGACATCCAATACCTTAATATTAGAACATATCCATTGAAAAAATCATCAGTTATTTCCTTATTCTTTTGTCAACCAGTATTTTCTGGTACTCATTGGCCTAATTAGCCACATGTCCTATCAACTCAAGGCATAGAAGGGTGACCAATTTTGCGCAAACACTGTACAGCTTCTAAAGGAGAAAGGAAAGAGGTGGAGATAACAGCGAGGGACTGAAGTGCATGGAGAGCTCTTGTTGGTGGCCTATATTCAGGCACGGGGTGAGAAGGGCTGATGATGATGACTATATAGCAATATAGTCATGTGCTGAGACATTATTGGACATAGTGAAATTATACCTTCCTGAGTAGTTGTCTTTAAAAAACGCAATGAAAGCTCACCTTGAGTAGCCGACCCCACACGTTTGGCACTTATATTTCCTGTCTGAAGAATGTAACTTTTCATGTCGCTCCCGGCTCTTCTTGTGCCGGAAAAGTCGCGGACAGTGTTGGCACTTGTAGGGCATGTGAGCTGCATGGGTCTGGGCAAGAGGAATAACATCAAAATGATTAGATGATGCTGACTGGTCAGTCACATGCGTCACTTTTCAAAATAGAGTATGGCGGAGTCTTACACTAGGCAGTCGATATGTGGGAAGGAGGAGAGATGACAAGAAGGAAATGAGATGATGAGCAGAAAGAAAAGATTAGATGACATTTTTTTTAAAACTGACAACATGAAAGAAAAAGGGACAGAACGACATGAGATGGCATGAAATCATAAAAGAAGCGATGTCTACATTACGAAAATCCAGCAAAGTCTGTATTTCTTTTTCATCTGTTCTGAGATATTTGTCAAGTCAATAGGCCACACCATTTCACAAGGATAAAAATATGCTCTGGCTTTGAAATTGCCATCATATTGGGTAGTATAATAACAATATTTTGTTTGGGTACTTATACATAAACCTGGTAAACAGATTTTTTCTAAGCATTTTTGCTTTTCTGCCAATAATTACACACTGGCATTTGTGGTGTAGTAGCTAAACACTTCACCATTGCACCCAGAAGACCCAAGTTCAATTCCCAACTGTGTAGAATATAATTTATTGCGTATCTTGGTCTTTCTACAGAGATGTTGTACCCTTTTCAGCTCAGGTTGGCCTTAATAGGCAGCCTGACTCCTAAATCATCTAAATGTGGTCGACGCAGGTGTCAGACAGTTAAGTTAAAAAAAACAATTTTTACATAATATAATTGCACACAAGCAAGTTGACATTTGGCACAACAACATTCACTTTTAGTCAGTCTATCAATATAGATAGACACCAGACCTACCTGCTCATGGAGTCGCAGATGCCCTAGCTTGGAGAAGGCTTTCTCACAGAAGCGACAGTTATGCGGGTGGTCATCGTTCACGCCGATGACGTAAGGCACCTGAGTCGGATCCATACCGTCCATCTCGAGAAGCTCCGCCTCCCCGACACCCCCTGCACCTGCTGCGTCCACAGAGGAAGTGGATTGTGAGGACGGGGACATCGAGGGAAGTGACGTGTTTTCGGTCCACAACCAGTTAGCTTTACTCTCTGGAACACAGACAGCATAAAGTAACATAGGTAAGTTTAGAGAGGGATAAATTATGGGATATATTTCTTTTATGCAAGTGTGGGACTCTTTGTGAGTGAGTTTATGGGTGTATTAAAGTGTGAAAACATAAAAAGAGGGTAAATGTGAATTTGTGTGCGTACGCACAAAATAATGAGCACGCATGTGTGTGCGTGCAACTGTTTGTGTGTGTGTGAGAGAGAGAGAGAGAGGGAGAGGGAGAGGGAGAGGGAAGGAGAGAGAGAGAGAGAGAGA